GCTTGTGTACTGCAAACACATACCAGCTTCATCACTGTGTCTGTCACGCGACTCTGTTCCCCTTTCGGGCTTGAACTGATGGTAAAACTAATGACATTATTTACTGTCGTTACATTTATTTTGAAAGATGAAGCTCGCGATTATGGTAAGGGGCGTTACATTTCCGACGAGTGCTTGCGGTGTTCGGCCAATCACAATGCACTGGGTCAGCTGGCTAATCAGAGCAGACTGCGCTTTTCGGAAGGAGGGACTTTGTAGAAAACGAAGCGTTTGAGAGAGGCGGGGCATAGAGGACCTACAATAATGTACAGTATTTGAAAAATAATGTGTTTTTTGAACATTAAAGCATGTCAACAGATTCTGTTACACCAAATACACAAAATGATGCTCTTTAAAAAAGCATCATATGACCCCTTTAACTTCCTACCGTATTGGAGAGAAAAGAAGTAGCACATTGATCTGCCAGTTGCGGGTCTTTCATGCGGAGAACTCTGCTCATATTGTATGCGTAATGATGCATTTAAAAGTTAACGACCAAACGGATGTTTATAAAAGTTTACATTGCTGTTGCAGATGAAATATAACACGGATAACATTAAATACATTTTTTTTTACCAGGTTAAATGTTGAATATTAGTAACTCAAACCCCTTTCTAAGCCTCTCTACCCAACCGCCGGTCGCGCACATCCGCCATGTTTGTAGTTTTTAACGCGTTTTATTCGAGTTTGCAGTTCTGGACCTGATGCATTTAAAAGTTAACGACCAAACGGATGTTTATAAAAGTTTACATTGCTGTTGCAGATGAAATATAACACGGATAACATTAAATACATTTTTTTTTACCAGGTTAAATGTTGAATATTAGTAACTCAAACCCCTTTCTAAGCCTCTCTACCCAACCGCCGGTCGCGCACATCCGCCATGTTTGTAGTTTTAACGTGTTTTATTCGTGTTTGTAGTTCTGGACAGAATCCTTCACCAAAGCGCAATGGATTGTGGGCAATATTAGCCATTAGAGTGTGCACGGATCCACACTTCAAAAATCGACCTGAAATAGTAGACCATCTGGGGACTTTTGGCGTACGCTTTTCAACATACTGTGCTTTGGGACACACTTATTCTAATCTCACATACTATTTATTAGGATGGATAGTATGAACATTGGGACGCAGGGCTTGTAACTTTTGGCCCTCTAGCGGTTAAAAACTAAACTGCATGGTTCTTGCGGAGGAACATTGTGTTGGTTGTGCTTCGGCTCTTCCCAGCGCGGATGATGTGGTTCAGGATACTGTACATCTTATCAGAGCAGATGGACGGAAAATAACAGTTTCTTTGTTTTGTTTACAAGTGGTGATTCATCTGAGGTTTGCCGTTTTGAATGATCCATGGCCAATTTCTCTGTGACGTTACACACCGGCGCATGACGTCTGCAATTTCCCGTGAAAACCATCCCGACAGCTGTGAAATACAAATTATTATTATTATAGGTTTATCAAAGTGTAATTTGAGTAAAGGTTTTGAAAGAATATTTACTCTTTTATTAATAACATATGGTTATTTTATCAAAAAAAAAATATAACTAAAAGAAGTACTCAGTAGCTAGTAGGCTATAAAGGGCTTATAAAACAGGTTTGTAAAAATGATTTATAAAAGTCGTCTTCTTTGTATCTCAGGCACCACAAGTTTATACCTCCACCTACCAATAAAACATATTGTCATCATGTCTTTTATGAACATCTGACTGCTCCTCTAACAGATGGCTGGACTCAATAATAATGACAAGTGATGTATTAAGGCCTTACGGAGCACAAGCTTTAGCCTGCATCATCAAATGGATTCGGTCTCATAGTTGGTGCAGGCATCCATATGGGTGGTTGGGCCTTAAAAAAGCTCCTGTAGAAAATAAGCGTCCCGTCCAGGCTTTGGAAGGAGACTAGGGGGCGGGGAACACTCATTTCCTGGAATGTTTGGCTCTTTCACAATACATCCATTCATTCTGGAGTCCTGGTTCTGGGAGAATACCAGACATGCTGCTTGATGTACACATGAAACATGGCATACGAGCAAAGAATTATGGAGAAGCATGTTTTATGGACAGTGCCACATCATGATGCACCTTCAGCCAGAATCTAAATTTAATTTCCTCAAGAGGGGAAATAGGCCTGCAGAGATCCAGTCCTCAAATGACGAGCTTAGATTTGTTGATGCAGTGTGAGAATTTGGGCTGCTTATTTCTAAACAATGCTATACTGCTGAAATATGTACACACGTTTTACATAAACACATGGTTGTATTGTAGCTGCCAACATGGAACCACAATCCAATGCTTTTAAAGAAATGGTTCACCCAAACATGAAAATTTGCTGAAAATGATGAGTTTGTTCTTCATCAGATTTGGAGAAATGTAGCATTGCATCAGTGTCTCAGCAATGGATGCTCTGCAGTGAATGGGTGCCGTCAGAATGAGAGTCCAAACAGCTGATAAAAACATCTCAATAATCCACAAGTAATCCACACCAATCCAGTCCATCAGTTAACATTTAATCAATGTTTGTAAGAAACCAATCCATCAGACGTTTTAACTGAACACAAGAGACGACTTTTTTCACTGGTGGAAGCAATAGGAGACTCATACATTTTCTTTAAACAACCAAGCAAAACAAAACACTTAAATGTAATAATAATTTGCCAAAAAGTAAGGACGTCAATCTTGACAAACAAAAAGCAGGGCAGATGTGTTCTCCCAGTCATGATTTGCTGCACCTGTATAACATTGTCCACTAACCAGGAGGGATGCGATAAAGCTACAAGTGATAAAAGCTGCAGTATGTCCTCTGTGTAAAGGGGTTTTCACACTGACAGCCATTTTCAGGTGATTTTCCAATATACATCTACA